TCTCTCTCTCTCTCTCTCTCTCTGCTGATTATGAAGATAGGGCTCATTGAGCCTCTAGGTTTTCCTTTTTGGGTGGGGTATGATAACTGGACTTGCCCTTTCCTTCTGCAAATCCCACGCAGAGGTGGACGAATTTGCAAGAAGGGTATAATTGCCCAGTAGCATTGTGCTCATGCTGGATGGCATAGGGCACACGCAATGTTTGGTGAGTCCAGCCGACGACCAATATATGCTGAAGTTTGGCATTCAAGTCTGCATGTTGGCAGTTATGGGTTAGGATGAAGATGATTATGGGTCTCGCTCCACCACTGTCCGCTATACAGAATTTCGGAGAGTTCGTGTATAGCTGTCAGAGTACCAAAAAGTCTGCGTCGTCGCTCCACTTACTATCCACTATACAGCTCTCCAATTCCTGAGTTCACTACAAAACACCCTAAGAGCACTACAAGACAGCAGTTTGTCGGCCCAGACTCGAGGCGGACTATCCGATTTCGTGCTCGAACGGCGGCCTCCTTCGTCCACCCTTCGAGGAGTATCCGAGAAACGACTTTTGCAGGCTGGGAACTATACACAAATGTAGAGTGCGATCCACGGCCGATTTCTGACAACTATACAACGGAGTTTTCACATGTATAGTGTATAGTTAGTGGAGCGATGCCGAACTATACAATTTTGTATAGCGTATGGTAGTGGAGTGAGACCCTATTATAGCTCTCTCGTTTTATCTTTTTGTTTTCTTCTGAATACGTACAGTGGCAGTGAAGATGCCTGTAGCTCTCTCGTTTTTTCCTTTTTGTCTTCTTCTGAATACGTACAGTGGCCCCAGGGGCCACTGGCCACTACTCGCCACATCCACAAAAGACATACCATATGACGGTGTATGGTTCCATGTTTTAGCAGAAGATTCATTCAGATGTTATACATTCGGTGAGTACCACTGAGTGGTGGAGCTAGGACCTGAGAATCACGTGGAGACACGAACAGGGTCTAGCTGAATTGGTGACCCAGAACTCCCGAGCTACAGACCTGAACTCGACGCCACAGAATATATTGGTGGTCTGCTCCCACCTCTCATTGTGACGCGGCCACCCTGCTTGCTGAAGCAGTGGTACTCGAAGCCTCCACAATGTCTAAGTGCATTGTCAGAGTCATTTGAGTTACCTGCAGGGGCCCCTAAATTGACGAAAAGGGAACCCTTTGGTCTCTCTCTCTCTCTCTCTCTCTCTCTCTCTCTCTCTCTCTCTCTCTC